ATCCAACCTGTTTACCATTGGCTGAGATCGAACTAAATTGCGATCTTCAGGCGAGTAATAACTAAGGGCTTGCCATTATTAGAAATGAACTCGACAAAGGAAGGTATTTATTAGGCAATCGAACTTTGCACTGTTGAATAAAAAAGAAAGGAAGCCTGATAAGTCAGTCCTCACCAGGTTAATGCCTGTCTCTACTAGAGCTCAAAGGGAAAAGAGAAATAGCTGAACGCGGTGAAGGGAAGATCTTGGAACCGATGAAGGAAGAAAATAAAGCATCCAGAGATGTTTTTGAAGAAGAAGATCAAATTACCGGAACTAAACATGGAAGATGAAGCTGTCAGGAAACTGGTAAAAATTGACTCAAGAAGAAGTTGCACAACTTTCAGCATGCTGATAAGGAACTGTCTAAAATCATCCAAGAAGTTAAGAGAAGGTACATGCAAAAATGAGAACTAAGTCTGACAGGAAAAGAACTTTTAGTTAAAAAAAAAAACGACGGATAAAATGGGCTTTGAAAGACAGCTTGTCGTTATACCTTAAAAAACTCAAGCCGTCAATTATAAAGATGTGCCACGAAGGAACTTCTGGTCATTTGGGTGTCAAAAAGACCAAAAAGACAGACTTGCTAGAATTTTTACTGGATGAGGTGTTACAAAGAAACTGAAGATTTTGTAAGAACCTGTGATGCTTGTCAGCGCGCTGGAAAGGAAAGGAATGACAAAAAGAAGGCTCCAATGACATTAGTACCAGTAATTTCCGAAATATTCACTAAAATAAAAAAGCCGATGCCGTTGGTCCGCTACCTATTTCGAAGACTGGAAAAAAATATTATTACAGCTCTGTGTATGTCGTCCAATATCCAGATGCTGTAGCGGTGACAGACATTTCTTCGCCATCTGTGATTGATGCTTTCTTACAGATTTTCAGTCGTATGGGTTTCCAAAAGTGATCCAAACAGATCAGGGGACCTCTTTCGTCAGTGCTTTGACAGAGGAATTTTTGGAGCGTTTCGGCATTAAACATGTAAGAAGCTCTGTGTATCATCCGCAGAGTAATCCCGTTGAGCGATTCCATAGAACGCTAAAAGGGTGTTAAGAGTCGTATGTATAGGAGCGACTTCGGATTGGGAGAATTATCTACCATCAGTTCTTTTTGCTCTCAGAAACAGTCACACACGAAAGCACTGGTTTTACACCAGCAGAATTAGTTCATGGCAAAAACCTACGAACGCCAGTCACTTTACTTTATGAGCAGTGGCTAGAACCGATTGAAGAAAGTAATAATGTTGTCAGTTACGTTTTCAAACTTATTAATCGAATGAAGAAATGCCAAGAGAACTTGCCGTGGAAAACATGAAAGAAGCTCAACAACGGAGGAAAACATGGTACGATCGAAACGCAGTGAAAAGAGAATTTGCTAGAGGAGATTTAGTTCTTGTTTTATCAACGAATCGTCAAAATAAACTAGAAGTACAGTGGAAAGGACCTGGAAAAATAGAGCAAAAAAATTTCAGAAACCAATGATATTGTAAGTTTCGAGGAACAAAATGAGCCAAATCAAGTATATCACATTAACATGCTTAAACCATATTACAAAAGACCAGAAATGATTAATATGATAACTGAAGTGGAAGGAAGACTTAGAAATGGACATACCTTATTTACTTTCCAATCCAAGTATATTAAATTTTCTCGGACATCATAGAGGGAGAATGAAATCGAGAGAAAAGGTTGAAATCCTGAGCAAATAGAAGATTTACGAAATGGATTTTATGGAAATATTTCTGGTTGTTTTTCAAATAATCCTGGACTAACAAACTTAGTTTGTCAAGATATTGAGCTATTAAATAACGAAACCAATACAAATAAAGCCAGACAGACTGTCACCCCGACAGACTGAAATTCTCAAAAAGGAAATTACAGAAAATGCTCAATCTTAAAATTATAGAGTTGGGAGAATCGGACTATACATCTCCCATGATTTTGATAGAATCTTCATTCAAAGGATCCTCGGCCTTGTATTGATTATCGTAAACTCAATGCTGTTACTAAAAACTGAATACTATCCTTTGCCTAATATTGAAGAACGTATCGAAACTGTAGCAAAAGCAAAATATATTACCCTATTAGATTTATCTAGAGGCTACTGGCAAATTCCGTTAACAGAAAGAGCCCAAAGATATGCAACGTTTGTAACTAGTTTTGGAAGGAAGTTCAGGCCTCTACGTTTACCCTTTGGATTAAAAAAATGCCCCATATTTTTTAGCAAAGTTATGACTAAAGTCCTGGCTGGATGCGAAGGTTTCGCTGTACCATACCTGGATGACATTGCCATTTACTCAGAAAACTGGGAAGAGCACCTTAAAAACTTAACTTCTGTTCTAGAAAGAATACAGAAAGCAAATTTACGACTAAAACCATCAAAATGTAAATTTGCACAAGATCAAGTGAGATACCTAGACCATGTTGTGGGACAAGGACAACGAACCCCAGATGAAGTAAAGATCCTGGCTGTAAAGGAGTATCCTACACCTAAAACCAAAACAGAAGTACGTGCTTTCTTAGGACTGGTAGGGTATTATCGCCAGTACATACCGAGATTTTCAGAAATTGCTTCACCCCTCACGGACGCTTTGAAGGGGGTAACAAAAAAAGGAAATATACAATGGTCTGAAATATGTGACAGAGCTTTTAAAAATTTAAAAGAGTTGCTATGCAAGAAACCAATTCTGTATGCTCCCGATTTTGATAAAAGGTTTATTATACAAACCGATGCCTCAGACAAATGGCATGGGTATAGTACTATGCCAATTAGATGATGAACAACGTGAACATCCTATCTTGTATATAAGCAAAAATTTACTAAGTTTGAAAAGAATTTATTGTACTACTGAAAAGGAGTGCGCTGCTATCATCTACGCTATCAAGAAACTGCATTTTTATCTGGATGGTCAGCAAGAATTCTTGATTCAAACTGATCATAATCCTTTGGTCTGGCTACAATCCAACGCCAAATGTAACTCTAGATTGATGCGCTGGGCACTCTCATTACAACCTTATAATTTTAAGGTCATTCATCGCAAAGGATCTTTGCACAAGAACGTAGATGTTCTGAGTAGAATTAAGTAATGTAACTCTTAGTGTATGTAACCACGTTTAGAATTAATTTTATTGTTTAATGTATGCTCAACTAATGTATTTGAACGTTCTCCATTTCTTTCTTTTTAAATGTGGTGTAAAAGTATTGTTTAAAACTTAAACTTAAATTTTTGGCCTGAAATTTAGAAATTTATAAGAGAAATAACCTTTGCTCTTTAAGCAAATGAGCAAGCCGAGCTTATTAAACTGTCAAATTTTACAGAACTTTTCCCTTCGGAAAAAGTCTCTCCGTTGGGGAGAGGGTTGTAACAGCTTTAAATAGTATTAAAATCTTGTAGTTTAAATAATTTAAATAGTTGAACATTAAGTTATTTGTGAATGGCAATATTTGAAACCAGACTCGAGTGCCACGTGCGACTCTCGCACGAAGAATGTAATTTTTTTTTAAATTTTAGAATATGTTTTCTCTTCTTGTTTGTATGTTGCCATTTTTTTGAGTGTTAAATAAAAGTTATTGCTGTGTTCCATCATTGGAGTTGCTTCATTTCGCCAAAGAAGCATCACAGTGCTAATAATGCACCAGTAATAATAGGCTTGAAGACTGGTGTTGCAGGCATCTTCAGAAAGGAAAATTCAGATTTGCAGATTATGAGGTGTACCTGTCACCTCTTAAATTTAGCAGCTTCTTTACCAATAAATGTGGATGAACACATTGTTGATATTTGTTATTATCTTGAAAGGAGTTTTAAAAGAAGGAAAAATTGAAACATTTCCAACAGCTACATAACTAATATTAGTGATGACGCATTAGAAAAACTTTTATTAGAGAAAGCAGGCCTACGTGACAATTGCTATGAACAAAATTATGAAGTTTCTTTCTTAACAAAAGCAAAATCTGCCACTGTTCATAACATTTGTATGAAAACTGATTAAGTTTTTTTTTTTTTTTTTTTCCGCTTCAACGATGCAAGTAATAAAAATGTTTTTTATGTGTAAGGTATTTTTGTGTTGCTTGCATTGGAGAATTAGTAACTATTTAAAGTTAATTCATTATTAAAAACTGTATTTTTATCATTTAAAAAAGTCTTTTTAACATTGTGAAAAATCTCCCAATTTCTTAAAAAAGTCTTCTGATTTATGAGTGTCATAGGTTGGCAAGTATGCAATAGAAATTTTATAAAGAGAGGAGAAAACTCAAGAATAAAAATATTTGGAGGGAAAAAATAAGCCAAAATATATTAATAAGGCACTAAAAATGCTTTACTGATTGCTTTAACAGAAAAGTACCAGATATCTTGGCGGAGGAGTTGGTGTTCAGTGTTCTACAAGATAATCCATGGTCATATACTTAGGGCTTGGTTCTATTTATTATTGAGGCATGTTAAAAAATCTCAGACTCATTAATTTTTCAAAATACTATGATCATAGTAGCCTTCTTTCATACTAAATTATGGCTCATGTTCAATATTGTAGTTGTATTTGGTGCATCTAATAATAGTCACTAGTTTTCTTAGATGCCCCAATGCAAATGTATATGGGCAGGATTTTTTTAATTATGTAATTTCAAAATAAAGCCTCATTTTTAAAGAATTTTAGTTTTATAGTGCTGTACTCAAAATAATATCCGATATCTGCTTTCCAAGCCAGTAATTTTAAGATCTGAAAAAATAAATACTGCAGTGGACATAATTTACTCTGCTATATTAAATTTGGTATGTGTGATGTCTTATAATTAAAATGACTTATTGTAGCCTATTGCAGTACAAAAATAAGTTTTTAACTTCTAGGCAATTAATATATATTCTAGAAGAAAAACAAGAAAATTGATATTTATTTATCAAGTTTTTAAGATTTCATTTGTATCATTTTGCTGTTTTAATTGTTTAAATATTATATTTTCAGAGTACTCAATCATTGTTTAACAATGCACAAAATAAAACAACATTTGTGCGAGCTACTGCACCCTCTACTACGGTGATGCAGACTTCTATGTTTGTTCCACCACCTGTTATGTCTCAAATGCCTCCGCCGCCCCCACCTGTATCTTCAACTATAACTCAGCTGATGCCACCATGGACGCAGCCACCCTTTCAAGCTCCTACATCTATCCAGCAAAGTGTTTTAACTACACAGGTATAGTTTTAGAAAAGCATTACTCAAATTATTTTTCATTATTTAAAGTTCTGATCAATTATGTTGATGTGTTTAGAATAGGCAATATTTTATAATATGTTGTACATTCCTCCACGTACAATTTATGTGACTAAGAACAGTTTTTTTTTTCCTTGAGGGTCTGTAAATTTTCATGAAATATTTCTGAACAATTTATATCATATTAGGATCATTTAAAAATCATTTTATTAGGTATATACTATTATGCAAAAATTAAAATAGGACAGGCTGTCAGATGTGATGCCACTCAGCGGTGTTTTATTATCCTCAGTACAAGGTACACTGTTAATGTATAAGACGATGAAAAAAGGAAACAACACTGACAAACAAAGCAATTCAAAAAATGCAGAGACCTTTTCTTCAAAAGTGGAATCTAGGCACAGCTGGGCAGAAAAGGAAACATCGGAAGAAAAAAAAAAAAAAAAAAATTATGTACAATGATCTCTGTGATTAAATGTGCACTGTCATATCATGCTTAATGCGAAATCATCAACAAGCTTTTAAGGCTTCGTGAGCCATTCTCTTGTAGCTGATCACAGCTGCAGAATCATTGCTGGTAATGTGATACTAGGCATATCCCAAAAACATCCGTTAGTGGTTAATTAGATTTAGGTTTAGAGGGCTATGTTGCTAATATCTTCATTCTTTAACAGCTCAGTAATGGCTGCTGTATTAATGAAATGTAACATTATCATCCATGAAGAGAAATTCAGGCCTCACAGAATCTCCAAAAAGACACACAGATGTAGAAGAATCTCAATGTGGCAGTGCTCGCCCTTGACTGAACCTTTTTTGGAAAATTTGAAACTCTGTGTAACCACGTAGTTTTTTCCTTTTCTCAAACAAGAACTCTTACCTCTAAATCAGTGCCTTTCAATTTTACTGGAGGGTTGATTGCATGTTCCTCATCTTCTGCAAGTGTTCGGAATTTCGAGTGAGACCAGGGTTCGTAGCGGTCCTTACAAGTGCTTATAAGTCCTTATATTTGAAAATAAAATATAAAGGCCCTTATAGGTGCTTGCTTTTTCTTTAAAGCCCTTATTTTTTTGTTTTTAGTGCTTATTTTTTGCTTTTAGTGCTTTTTTAATCCTTTTTTTTTTTTTTTTTTAATGAACGTGCATTTTTTTTCCGTACCGAAGCCGAAACTAAATAAACAACTTTTCTTCCTTATATGCAATGTCAGATGGTGAATCATACTCCCGGAAATTTGCTTTTCCTCCCTTTTTCTGCATTACCGTAACCTATGGTGTGCGCGAGAGTACAGACAGGTGCACGTCGTTCTATTGGTCAAAGAATTGCGAAAATGGTAGAAAATTCCGTTACATTCGGTATTCTTTTCCTCCCACCCAAATACTACACACGTTTGAATTTCTATCAAGATTTTAATAATTTGCATTCTCGTTCCGCGTGGTCAGTTCATATTCGTGTTTATTATGATCGTTATGCTTATATTATGAGTATATGCATGAATATTTATAATAATATAGTTGCAGTAACTGCTGAAGTATAGATAAACTTCCAAAAATGGGTGTGTTTTTACACAGATTAGCTTTCTAGGGAATAATATTTGGAATGGCTTAAATAAAAGGAAGGTAATCGAATAGTCAAAATAAATTCTCCCCCCCCCCCAATACATTATACAGTACAGAGGTTCTCCACTTTCTCCGCAAAATCTCTAATATTGAAGCAGCGTATTCCCCCCCCCCTCCAACACTGTCCAATCTGGATTGAATAGGACTAAAAGTTTTTGCGGTCTACCCAACCTAAGCGAAGATTGATTCTATTCCTGAAATTTAACGCAGTCTGTTGAAAATTAGAATCAGAAACACCCCAAATTAGTAAGTCTCTTTCTTTTCCTTTATTTAGTTCTTTATTTAGTTCCTTTATTTAGTTCATCATTAAATCTTGTAATATAGTTTAGTTCTGCAAAGTTTTTTTTTTTTTTTTTTTTTTCCTTCTCATTGTAAACTAATTCTGTAAATTGAACTGTCATTTAAAATTTAAAAAAAAAAAAATGTGAATTGTTTTCCATGGTTGAGGTAATGCTCATTTTCTTAATAAATATTGCATTGCTTATATTTTAAATTACAAGTCTAATTTTTCTTTTAAGGTTATGCAGTTGTGTATAATATAATTAGACAGGTGCTTATTTTTTCCTTAAAATGTGCTTGAAAAGTGCTTATAGGTGCTTATTTTTTTAACTAAAATGTTGCTATGAACCCTGTGAGACTGAATTGGCTCTCTTTCATAAATAGCAATTAACCCCCAATTTCTGAGCTGTGTAGTTCTTCTGTTCCAGGTACTGTAGTAAACACCATCTCTGATGGCTAGATATCAGTGGCACATTTCACATTAGTGGTCGAATGAACAAATCGCTTAAAAGCAGTTTGGTAGCCACATAAAATTTGGTTTTGGATGTTGAATACCATGTTTCTTGTGACAAGTGATTCTGGTGTTCAAAATTCTCTACAAGCTCATGGCATGGTGTGTGTCCTGAGTTCCTGCACATATTATACGAGTTATATTTCTCTCTTCCAATTTTCCCATAATTTGACCTAGTTAAAGTCATCTATTTGTTGTCTGCAGGACTATCTGGTGGTTGCATCACACAGTGATGATTATTCAGTATTATTTCAAACTGATATGCATTGTACAATAACTTGGTATTAAATATTAAACATATATATGCTTTGTTCTTTTTGTTCTTCCCACACATCCACACTATCTAGTGTTTGCATATGTGTGCTTGTCTTACTGTCCCAGGACTCGCCAATAACCAAGTGATAAGATCACTGAATAATGGTTGCCGACCCAGATTCAAATTTCAATGATTGCACTCGCTGCTTAAGTATTTTTGTGGTTTTCCTTATGTGTATTATGAATTAGTTTTACACAGAAAGTCCTCTACAAAGGCAGCCTTTCCCTTCGGCAGGATACTACTTTTTAATAATCAATTCTTACTACACCAGACCTTATGTATTAGTCTTTCTGTTCATTTAACTGTTATGTTAATTTCTTCAATCTATCCTAAGTTTTTATCCATTAGTGTACGTGAAATGTTTTGTTCTTGATATGTTTAGTAATATTTGTAAGCATAGTATATTTCCGTATATAATAGTTTCATATAATGTCATAATATTTTTTATGCATAGCAGTAAAAAGATAAAATCTAGAAGTATTTTAATGGGATGGCAGAAGTGCAAGGGAGAAAAGGAATTCTTTCCTTTCTGAAAAATTCTTATTCAAATATGACCATTTTCTATTATAATTGACTAACTGTAAATAAATTGGAATTTTGATTGGAATTGGTAGATGGGCACACAATTTTTTGGCGAAAAATATTACGTTTGGTAGTAGATGATGATTAATAAGACTTATGGTAACCCATGGTTTGAGCGCTGTTTACGTCATTTAATTTTTTAAATAATGCATTTTAATATGCATAAATTATGTGTTTAAAATATTATTTATGACTGTTGAATATTAAAAATTCATTTAATTTTGCATTTTTATTTGAAATACAGTACAAAGTTCAAAATCCGGACATCCATTGTCTATCCGGAATGATCTAAAATCCGGACCTCAAAGCCACAAACCTTTTTTTTTTTTTTTTTTTTTTTTTTTTTTTTTTTTTTTTTTTTGGTATGCTTTATGCATGCGCATTTGATTTTTGCTTCCACAATAAAACATGTGGAGATTTTCACTTAAAAATTCCGATTCTTAATTTCACTTAGGCACTAAATAAAATATATCATTATGAAAAAATAATCATGTAAGCATACATTTGTGAGATTAATAATTTGGCTCTGTAGCTGAGTATCTGCTTGGCATTACATCTCAAACCGAAACATTAATCTATTTTATATCCCTGACTCTGCTATTAATAATTTGGCTCTGCAGCTGAATATCTGCTTGGCATTACATCTCAAACCGAAACATTAATCTTTTTTTTGTCCCTGACCCCAACCTGGCGAGTCATTATTTATTATATTTTTCTTTTAGTACAGCATGTTTATCAATACATGACAGCTTCAGTAATAACTCATGCAGTGATGTCTAAACTTTTTTTATATTAGTAATTCAATAACAAGAGTAAGGCAACCTTTTCTGCTAACATTACACTTGGTGATGATTATAGATTTTTTAAATGCTCTAAGAAATGTTGACAAGGAAAAATTCAACAAAAATTTCTTTTCATATTCTAAAAATAGATTTTGTTAATGAAACTCATAGGCCAAAAGATTACATTTAGTGCTATTTTAATTAAGAATAACTGATGTGTTATTCACCATAAACCCAGAAGCCACTGCAGAATTTAGGGAAGACACAATTTTTCGGAATTTGGGGAAGCACTGAGCGGTAAAATTAAGGAATGAGAAGTTTTTTATAATTTAGGGGGCAAAGCACTAGGATCCAAAATTTAGGTGCGATGAAAATTTAGAACTTGGGAGGGCACTTTGTAGCAGAATTTAGAGACTGCACCAGGCAGTATCTACCACCGGCCCTAGATAAAGCCTTAAGTATATGTGGGAGTTTATTTATTTAGGACTCGGATTAGTTTTAAGCTTGTGCAAGAAATAAACTTAGATATAGTAAACAACTAATACAATTCAGGCTTAAAGTCAGTACACAATAGGAGCAAGACAAAATTTAGCGGAACAACTTGGCTTTCATCGCCAATCTTGTGATACACAGCCAATAATGTATAATGGATGCTATTAAGCTAGGCTAAAATTATCTTAACTGATTTTAAGGAATTTCAGTTAACGTAGCAGACTGCGCTGATCCTTAATCTTCTAATTTGATCCAGCTTATTATTTTTTGCAGACTGTTACTATTACAGCAATTTTATAAAAATTAAGCTTGAACTTTCTATTATATCAAAAAGCATTTCCAGTTCGGGAGCTGCCAAAGGATCTACAAAGCGAAACCATGTTTTGATTGAAAGTGGAATTGCTGCA